CTTCGCCGCCCCCCCATAACACCCGGGAGGTATTAATTCTGTGTAAAGTCGCCGGTTTTGGGCCCGCTTGCCCCCCCCCCCCCCCCCCCCCCATGCTGCTCAGCACTACTTGCCGCTTCGCCCGTGATGGTGCTCGGAGTCATTCTCCTTCCATAATGTCCCTCCGTGGAACCAGAGCCGCACAACAACATTGCTGGGGGCTTGGAAAATAATAGCCAATGCCCCTGCCCCCAGGGTCGGGCCAGCCCTTTTTGTGGCCCTAAGCAAAATTTGAATTGAGGCCCCTTGCCTGGGGTGGATTAAATTTGCAGGAGGTGGGGGTGTCGATAAAGGGTGAGTTCCAGTGGATTGATTGTTCCATTTTTCTCAAGGCATGACCCCCATAGTGTATGGGCTCCTGGAAGTCTTCCCCATTCCCCATTCTCCTCTAGTGGGCAGCTCAGGAAGGACAATTCACGGCCTTGCCTGACCTCATCACCCTCAGCCTGTTGTGATTAATCTCCCCGGACTGGCCTGGCCAGACAGACGTCCTAAAGGCTGATTGACTCCGTGACCCATATCTTTGCTTTATCTCCCTCCCCCCACCCCAGAAAGCTGACCTGGCTGTGGCCGGACTGACCATCACATCAGAGAGGGAGAAGGTCATCGACTTCTCCAAGCCATTCATGACCCTGGGCATCAGCATCCTGTACAGAGTGCACCTGGTAAGAGATGGCACTGGGTAGGTAGGAACCCAGGAAGGGCGGGGGGTCTGCAGTGGTCCAGGAAGGGTGGGGGGGTCTGGAGGGGCCCGGGAAGGGCAGGGGGTCTGCAAGTAATTACCCAGGATCTCCCAATTTTAGCCGGTTCCCCAGACCAGGAGGCAGGAGAAGCCCTGTATCGGTCTGGCGGTTTTAGAGCCTGTGTATAATTACTCAGATTATGTATATTAATTCTGAAATGCCTGCCCCCCCACCCCCTCCCAATCCAAGGTGACCCATTGAGCTCACCGCTGGCTACCATCCAGTCAGTACTGTGGCTCTGGTCCAGTGGGCCATTCACGTTACCTCCCTGCCTCCCTCAAACCTCCAGCCTGCAACATGCATACATCCCCCACCCTCAGCTCTACCTGGAGAGGTGGGGGGGGGGGGGGGGGCGGGGGGGGGGGGGGGGGGGGGTGGCCGAACCCAGGAGTCACATTCACTTTAAAGACAGATGAGTTCTTCGGCTGTATATGAACAGCCACTGAGGAGCAATTNATTCACGTTACCTCCCTGCCTCCCTCAAACCTCCAGCCTGCAACATGCATACATCCCCCACCCTCAGCTCTACCTGGAGAGGTGGGGGGGGGGGGTCGGCAGCATTGCAGAACTTTCTAGGTGCTCTATAGGCATTCCTTCTCTATGGCATCACCAAGGGTTGGGGTCAGCGCAAACGATGCAAGGAGTTTCCTCTCTTTTGAAGCTCCTCTAGGAACGTCCCTCTTGTTTTCATCCAATCCGCTGGCTCGGGGGGGTAATCGCTCACGCTGGCTGATCTCACACAACAATCTCCACAGCCGCTCTCGATCAATTACGACAGCGTGGTGCCCCCAGGAGCGCCGCCCCCACTACCTATCTAAAAGTCCAAGGGGAGTCACCTCCCCCCCAAGGTCAATAGCAATTTGGAATTCAGAATGGAATAAGACGGTGCCTTAATGTTTATCGCCAGCATGAGGGCTGATGTCGGCCGGCCAATCGAAATTGTTCCCGTCCACTGGGTTTCTTTCTGCATGCATTGCTCTTCTTCTGGGCCACCAGAGGGTCACAGGTTTGGGCCTTGGGCAAGTGGGTGGTTCCAGTATAAATGCAGCCGAGCGTGGATGGATCCGGGATGTTGCTAGGAATCATGGGAGCTGTTGCCAATGCATTGAAGGGCAGGAGCGTATAAGAGAGCAAGCCCAGGGCCCTGGGCGGCACTGCATTTTCACTGCACATGGATTACACGGGAACAGACTGCTGCTCTTTATGCTCCTTTGATGGTGACTGCGGAGGAATGGCTGCTGGAGCTGGCAGCAGGAACGGAGCTCAACTGTCCTGTGTCCAAAGTCTGATGTGGCCATCTGGATATGGCCGGTTTAAACTGCTTTGGCAGGGGGCTTCTGACATCTCACACAGATGAACAGCAGCTCCACATGTGGATTGTCCCAGTGTGACACTGGAACTCTGCCTAAAATGCAGAAAATTCCTCCAGGTGGTGGGAGGCTCTGATCACCTCAGTGGACCTCTCTTGGTGGGTGGTGTGTGGCTCAGCATATGATGCTTCTGACCAGGGGGTTGCTGGTTCAAGTCCCCTGCTTGGCAGTGTGATTTTATTGTTGGGCTCTTGAGCAAAGGCCCTTAAGTTTCGGCTGCTCTAGGGACTGTCTGACCCTGCCTTATGAAAAATGTATGTCTGCTAAATTAAGTTTAACCGTTAACCGTTTTCATTTTTTCAGATGCGAATAGAATGTGTGAATGTGTGGGGCTGTAAAAAATTTATAGAAATTACCCGACACCTCCGCAAAACCCCTAGCACTGCATGGCCCACTGTAATACAGGCGACGGACTGGTACCGGGGTTCGAAACCATGTCCTAAATAAAACATAAATGAGCCGAGGCCATCAAAAGTCAATGAAAAAGGTGAACGAAAATTAAACGGTGACATCGGTAAGAACATCCCTTAGTCTGCGAGGTGGAAGGCTGGGCAGGCTGGTTTATGCTAATGTCGTTCAGCTAATGTGACATTCTCTTGTCATTCAGCTAACGAGACCTCACGTCATGTAGCTGACGTGACGTCCTCATGCTATTTGGTTAGCTACATTATATCATCCTACTACTGTGATGTTCTAACATAAATTGGCTAACATGACATTCTGGTGTCATCCGACTACCGTGGAGCTCATGTGTCCTTTACCTAAGCTGATGCCTTCACATCATTCAGCCCCCACATCATATGACAGCCAGTAAGTATGTAGACAGTCGCGCTTTGCTTTGACTCTACAGAACAGCTTTCTGACTGATATGTCCACCTTTAGGCCAAAGCCAAATGCAAACATTTACAGCAAATGGAGACAGGGCATGTTTTCACCGCACCAAGTACGGTACTTTTGGTACTTTCGCTTTTACATTGACTTCCGCTCGAGTACCAGTATCAAAAGGTCTAGTACCGAAAGTGCCAAACCAGCTGGGGTACTTCTTTGGTACTTGGGCACTTTGGGGTGGGACTTGATTGGTTATGCAAGTAGCCTGCCGCTGAAACACAATACATACGCCGCCTTGAAAACAGTTGTGAACTGAAAATAATGATAAATGAAGTAAAAAAAAATGCAATTTGGTCGTAAGAACATATACTGTACAACAGAATGATCTGGATGGCATGACAAGAAATTAAAAAGTATTTTGTTGAAAATATTAATACAGCACCTAGCAACGTGCAATGTAATTTTGTATCATAAATTTCTCACAAACCAGACTTCGAGTGATTTAAATGACCAGGATGAAAATGATTACGATTGTCTCGGAACATATGCAGCACTCATGCAAGAGCAGCGGAGGTGAACTTTAAACTGATTTTTAAACATAAAAAGCCTTATTTTAATATAGCTGTGATGTCAATCGATGCCAGTGGAAAACCAACACCTTGAAGTACCGTACTTCCGGGTTCTTCTCAAAGTACCAAAAGTTCGGTACCTGGTGCAGTGGAAAAGTCCACATTTTTGCTCCCTCAGCCAATCAAGAACACCGAATACCTGGTACAAGTGTGTTGGACCAATAATGTGGATTGTCTGGAGGTCCTTGGGGACTGGATTGAGAAACACTGCTCTAGGAAATTGGAGACTTCTTTTTTGTTTTCGAGTGGACCTCACAGCCACAGGGTACACCCCTTGGGGGTGTATGGCTCAGAAGATTCTCAGCTTCACACTCAACCGTATATGTGTTTGTGTGTCTGTGTGTATGTGTCTGAAAGGCGTGTAAGATGGGATATGTGATCAGAAGCATTCCAATGTACAAAATTAAGCGTTAATTTCAAAATCCCATCCAGCATCCCGTTCCAGAGCACAACCTATGCTTGTTGATCTTTGGCTAAACTCCATTAGCTTATAGCTGTCCAGATGTCATTGTACTGTTTTCAGAAGTGGCCTGCAGATAATACCCTGAGTGAGCTAGCGTTTTTTTTTTCCTCCTATGTTTGTTGTTGCGTCCATTCATGCACAGAGAGTGACTGTGCGTCAGCTCTGCCGCTGTTTTCAGCAGGTGACCCTGCCTCGTAAGGTCACACGATGATCCACACTCCTGTAGAGTGATAATTGACCCAGCTCCCTTCAACTCCTCGCTGCCTGTAGGCAAGGGAGGAGTACAATGCATCTGTCTCTGCGGGGGCCATAAATAAAGGAATGCCCATATGAAGTATTACCATAAATCAATAAAACAATCAGCTGTCTCAACGCCACATACGTGACAAACATGGGTTCTCTGGCAGGACCTTCGAAAAGACTTTGGGTCTGTTTTTCTCTCCCCTCATTTCAAGTTTTCAACTTTCTCTGGGTAAGAGAGATACGGACATCATTTCAAAGCTTATTTAAGACACTTTGAAGGGCACCTTTATATGCTTACGGTCCGTAGTCAGTGACAGAGGGACACAGGAGCAGGGATGTACCTTGAAATGTGACCTGATGCAGATTTGTCTCACAAAGCTGGGAGATTAATGACCAGCGTTAAACCAGAGCCCCGTTGTGGCCACCCTTGAGCTAAATAATAAGTTGTGATGCGCTAATATTTTTAAAGTGTCGCATTTTATAAAGCACGCCGTCTGTCCAGGTCACCTTAGTGGCGATTGGGGGGCTCGGCACAAAAGGGTGGGTTCAAGCTAGCGACAAACATGTTGATTGGCTGTTGCTCCAAAGTGGCAGGGAAAAGGTGCACAACCAGTGTGAATAAGTGGTTCGTTTGGCTGGATACCAAAAGCACTGAAGTCGGATAATAAATTAGAGAGACCAGTCATAACTCGCCTATACTCCATAGTCGTGTTGTAACTCTAACTCTGACCGTTTAAACTATTTACTGCCCCACAGCTAATTCCTTCCCGGTGGTGAAATACCGTTACAGGATGAGTGATTACCAAAGTGTGGCTCTGGGTCACAGCTGCAGTGTAAATATCTAATCTGTAGATGTGTGTGTGTGCGCGTGTGTGTGTGTGTGCGCGTGTGTGTGTGTCTCAGGCCCGCAGACCTGGATACTTCTCCTTCCTGGACCCGTTCTCCCCCGGAGTCTGGCTCTTCATGCTGCTCGCCTACCTAGCCGTCAGCTGTGTGCTCTTCCTAGTGGCCAGGTGAGTCTGGCAGCCGTGTGGCGACCCCTGCTGGCGCATCCCAAGAACTGCGCTCCTATGCAGTGCGATTCCTCTGAAAAATTCCAGCACCGCTGCCTTGAGCTCGTTCGGGTCCAGCTTCAGTAAGCACCTCTGACAGCTGGTGGCTCTCCAGTGCGCCACGGAAGCCCGATGGAGGCACACTGGTGATTTTTCAATGCACAGATTCTCTCTCAAGGGCTTAGACTACTGCTGCTCTGAAAGATAATGTGATGCGCGCTACACACAAGACTTCTCAATACGCAGTTCCTATACATTCAGGTCGCTGTTATTGCATTGGGGATGCATGGAGAAGCTGATTACTTTCATTAAATTATTTGTCGGTAATGTTTTCCTGATTGTTCGTCACTGCATTCTTAATGATGCTCCAAATGTTACCTGAGCACAGGCCCCCAGGTGCCCCCCCCCCCACTCCCCATACTGATGTCCAAGCAGCGCAATATATATAAAATAAACAGATATATACATATATAGAATTTGTGCGGATTGTGGTGAATATGATATTTTATGCAGCTTTGCTGTATGTATTCTATGTTGCTGTATACCTGGTTCTGGATGGTTCCCGTTGTCCGTGTGTGATAAAAATGTATGAGAATATGAGGATAATTATATCTTTGTACTTTTTCCTATTCATCCTGACCATAGACTTACTCCTTATGAATGGTACAATCCTCACCCCTGCCAGAGAGGGCGCTGTAACCTGGTGCTCAACCAGTACTCCCTGGGCAACAGCTTCTGGTTTCCTGTGGGGGGGTTCATGCAGCAGGGCTCTGCTATCGCCCCCCGAGCTCTGTCCACACGTTGCGTCAGTGGTGTCTGGTGGGTATGCCCCTGAGACACGCGTGGACACACACACACACACACACGCACGCACACGCACGCACGCACGCACACACACACACACACACACACACACACACACAGACAGACACACGCATGCACGTGTCCTTATGGGCAGGGGCGCCGTAAGGGGGAGGAAAGCTAGGACGATTCCAAGGGCCCCTGAGTGACAGGGGCCCTAAAAAATTAGGAAAATAACTGGATTGGTTTGGACTGGGGGGCCTAATATGATATGCTTTCATGGGGCCCAAAATCTCTAGCAACGCCCCTGCTTATGGGGACCGCTCATTCATTTCAATGCACATGCACACACACACACAAGCACACACACACACACATTTGTGTTCATATATTTGTGGGGACTCTCCATTCATTCCTATGGGAAAAAAACCCTAATGTCAACAATGATGACCTTAGCCCCTAGTCAGCCTGAACCTTAACCATAAGTAACCAAAGGAAATACAAGACTTTTGGCATTTTTAGTTTTCTGATTGCAGTCATAAAGTATTATAAAAGTGAGTTTCCTCGAAAAAGTGGTCCCCACAATGTCAAAATAACAAGCCATTATCACACGTAATATATACCTGACCCACACACACTCACTCACACACACACACACTCACACAAATGCGCACCAGCCTGCCTCCAGACCACAGTATATATACATTATGTGGCCTCATGAGCTGAAGAGGTTTTGCTGCCCCCTGCAGGTGGGCCTTCACACTCATCATCATCTCCTCCTACACGGCCAACCTGGCCGCCTTCCTCACCGTGCAGAGGATGGAGGTGCCCATCGAGTCTGTGGACGACCTCGCTGACCAGACGGCCATCGAGTACGGCACCATGCACGGCGGGTCCACCATGACATTCTTTCAGGTAAACTCCCCTTTAGTGCTGGATGAGCCAGACAGTTGTGTGGCGACCCCTGTTGGTGCCTCCTAGGAACTGCATCTCTAAGAAAAATCCAGGCAAATAAAAAAATAAGAAATAAACTAAAGAAACCTGTAAAAACTGAATTCCCTAATCCCCACTCAGCCCTTCTTGTATCACCTTCTTACCTTCCTCTGTATCCCACCATTCTTATTAAAAATAAACAAGGCTGTGTATCACGTGTCCTCTCCTAAATTTCCTTCTCTCTCTCTCTCTTTCTCTCTCTCTCCCCTCCTCGCGCTCCATCCCGTCTCATCCTGGCTGCTAATTCGCCTTTTCTCACAGAACTCACGGTACCAGACGTACCAGCGCATGTGGAACTACATGCACTCCAAGCAGCCTGGCGTGTTTGTGAAGAGCACGGAGGAAGGGATCGCTCGCGTCCTCAACTCCAACTACGCCTACCTGCTGGAGAGCACCATGAACGAGTACCACCGGCAGCGCAACTGCAACCTCACGCAGATCGGCGGCCTGCTGGACACCAAGGGCTACGGCATCGGCATGCCACTGGGTATGGCCGAGGCTGCACCCATCAATCATATAGTATTCAGGCATGCATCCACCAATCATAAAGGAACAACACATGCATCCACCAATCACAGAGTGACAACACATGCAACCACCAATCACAGAATGACGGTACATGTATCCACCAATCACAGTGTGACAAGGCATGTATTCGCCAATCACAAATAGCTAGGGTCTGCAGTCACCAATCACAGAGTGCTAACACATGTGGTCACCAATCACATAGACCACTAAGACATGCATCCACTAATCACAGAATGCTAACGTATGCGGACAACAATCACAGAGTGCTAGGGCATAAATTCCCCAGTCACACTTGGTTGGGTTATATATTCGCAGTTGTCAGGTTACTAAGATGCGAGCTCAGCCACAGTTTTCAAATAGCCAGTCACAAATTCTAACACCAATTAACAGCTCGCCTGAGCTTATCTCTCTACATCTCCGGCGACTTTTTAGCACAAGCAGAATCATCCGGTGCCTTTGGAAAACGTGTGAAGTGAATTAGCATTAACAGAATCATAAAGGTTTTTGATTGTTCTCTGTCCCTTATTAAAATCGCTATTTATTTCCACGCTATTTATAGCAAAAAAGAAAAACGTAAATGAAGTAAAGGTTTTTACGGTACCAGCTAAAGCCTGTGAGAAGCCCGACATCCTCACCTGCTCGATTCTTCTGCTCTGCCTGCCCAGGCTCTGTGTACCGGGACGAGTTTGACCTGGCCATCCTCAAACTCCAGGAGGACAACCGGCTGGAGATCCTCAAGCGGAAGTGGTGGGAGGGAGGGAAGTGTCCCAAGGAGGAAGACCACCGTGCCAAAGGTACAGTGCCCCCTGGTGGCACATTGCCAGCAGTGCACACCGCCACCTACTAATGGTGAGGAGTCTGAGTAACAGGCCTCCACCTGTCCCCCTGTCCCCCCCCACCCCACAGGACTGGGCATGGAAAACATCGGGGGGATCTTTGTGGTGCTGGTGTGTGGCCTGCTCGCGGCCATCTTCATCGCGGTGGTGGAGTTCTCCTGGATGCTTCGCCACTCACACGGGACAGAGGTGAGAGGTGCCTCTGTCACCTGCATCTGCTATGTCTCCCTCTCCCCGCCCTAATGCCACCAACCCCCCCGCCCCCCCACCCCACCCCCCATCTGCAGCCCACCCCCAAAAGCGGCCAGCGGACCCACAGACCAGGACTAAAACCTGTTATAATAATAATAATAATATCTCAGGATTTGAGAGTAACCTCAGCTGATCTCTCAGTTTGCTTCTGCTTATTTCCTGTATTGTGCTGTTTTTGATGCCGTTTTTTATCACAGTTGCTTTCTTTGCAGTGGTTCTGTGTTCACTGCTGCCCAAGTCGCAAAACTGCACTTTTTGAAGAAAATTTTGAAATAAACTATGTGTCCGTGAATTCCCATGCCAAGTGACTTCTTTCTGGGTGGGGGGGGGGGACAAAAAACATTTATTTTTTTATTGTGACACACAAAACAATGTGCATCTCAGTGTCTCAGAGGAATGTGTCCTTAGGTATTGCAGCCATCCTGTGATGAGGCTACTGGGGGGGGGTCCGGGGGTTGGGGGGGGAGTCATCGTCCTGCAGCAGGGAGTGGGGTGGCACTGAATCTTAGATGCTGGCCACATTTTTTTTTTTTAAGGGATGATGCATTTTTTTCCTCTCTCATGGGGGGTCCCAGAACAGATTCCCCTCAATCTGAGCACTAGTTGGTGTTAATGTGTCCAGGAGCGTACCAAGGGGTAAGGGGGGGGTGTGTGTCCTGCAGAGCGGGTCCAGTGGGCGGGAACGGGGGCAGCCCAGTACACGACACTTCCCGGCCTCTTTCTCTCTGTCTATGCCCCCCCCAGCTGTCCGTGTGTGACGAAATGCTGCAGGAGCTGCGTGGGATCGTGACGTGCCGGGACAGCTTGCAGCTGCGGCGGCGGAGGGGCCCAGGCGGGGCGCCGCGGACGAGGCCCCTCCTTCCCGAGGAGCCCGGGCGGCTGCGGGCGGTGACCAGCCTCAGCAATGGCATGGTGTGTGGGGCGGGGGCCGCGGCCGGCGTGCCCGAGGTGCTCGCCCACAGACTGGCTCAGGAGGCCGCCCTGGTGGCACGGAGCTGCGGCCACGCCCGCATCTGCCCCGAGTGCCGCCGTTTCCAGGGGTTACGGGCACGTGTGGCGGGAGCAGCCGGGGCCTCACCCACCCACAGCGAGGGCAGCTTCGAGTGGGAGAAGACCATTGACGTCGGGGAGCCCGAGTAGACCGCACGATCACCCCCCTCCCCCTCCCGTTTGGTCTGTTCCGTTTCCCTGGGCACTCTGAGGCAGGTACTGTAGCAGGTGGGTGGGCTCAGGGAGCTCTACAGCAGACTGGACCGTACCACACCTCCTGGGGGAGTGTCCAACTCTGTGCCCACTGTCTCCCCAGGGCTCTGGCAGTCTTGCCCATGAGGAGCATCGTACTATGCAGTATCTCTCTTTGCTTTGTCGCTGTTGTTTATTTTCCATCGGGTCCGTCATCTGCCGATGCAGATATTCGTCACTGCGGTTTCGGTATTACTGCTGTCCCCATCGCCTATTATTAGCATAAGCATCGTTGTTCATTTTTTCTTTTTTTTTTACGATCTACGGACACACTTTCCGACTGAGAGCTGCAGAAACCGACCGGGGAGAGGGAGGAGACTTCGAATCACTCGTTCGGTTTTAAAAAGTGCCAAAAACTGTGTGTGAACCCTGTGCTGTGGAACCGAGTCGCATCGCAGCCCCGACGGAAACGGCGAGTGGACGGAACACGATGTGCACAATGACCTTTTTTTTTTTTTTTTTAAATAAAGGTGATATTCTATATTGAAACGTTTCAGAGCTGTCTTCACAAAGCAAGGGGGTTTAGACTCACTGGGAATGCCGTTACTCTGGGATTGAACATTAAGTCCTAAGGGCAGCAGACCTCATCGGCCCAACCTTTTTCAGGGTCCTAACCCACATTTGATTAACCTAGTAGTCATTTGTCGTCTTCCTTCCCATTCTGTTCATCTGATCAGATAGTGCGCCCCCTGGTGGCCATTGGGACCCTAAGAAGCCAGTTTGATTACATCACCCTGCATACGTGTCTTGAGCTCAGCTGATGCTTCTCAGTGGTGCAGCTGGGTCTGGCACAGTCATAGTCTGGCTGTCTTTTGCCTTCCGTGCTTCCTGCTTTCTTTCCAGTGGTGACATCATTTCCTGTTTGCTACCCATTGACAGGGCCGGAGGTCCTTGACACCTAAACAGCGCTACATGAGCTGTTGCTACCTTTGGCACATGTAACTGCTAACCCCATGTGCTAAAACAGAGAACCCGTCAAAGGTTTGTGATGAACCGTTTACAACCTCTTACTTCAGGTTTGGCTTTGATACTTCACGTTTAGTGATCGGGGTTAAAGGCCTTGCTCAAGGGACCAATGATGAAATCATGAGAGCCAATGACCGTCTAGTCACAGGCTAACCCCTAGAACCACACACCACCCCTGAAATTCACTGTCTCCCTCCGCCAGCCAGCCATTCGTCTTGGCGACACTCACTCGGCCAACCTCCAGACGGTGGGATAAAAGCATCTTAAATGCTTCCGAATGCTCGAATCAGCTCCATGCTTCACAACGTTTCCATGTGATGGATGCCCAATAAACTAGAAGCACTGCCAAGTACTGATCTGGGATCAGATGAATTACCATCACTCCATACATCAGTCATTATGAGCAGGTTTGGCCAGGCGGCGGTGACAGATACAACCTCTACAGGCGCTTTATTTTCTTAAAACAATCACCTGTAATTACACCCCACGGTGCATCTTACTTACTACAAATTCTCCTCCGGGTAATTATCTCATTAGATAAATGTAATTTTTTTTTTGGCTTTGGATTTTTTTTGGCAGAAGACTCTTCACGTCGTTTTTCAAGAATCAGTTAGGACCCAAACAGGCAACTGATTGGACCGCCTACAACAGAAAGGCAGACAAGGCGCCCCGGCCATCACCGAGTCAACTCACGCAATCATGGGGCAGCACTCTGCTAGCTTAAAGCGCTAATAAGACTTAAACTGCTCGCACTTAGAAACTGATTAAGATTTGTTGAATCAAATTGCTTCACGGATACCATTAAAAGTGCCAGAGGCCGATGCCCCCCCCCCACCCTCCCCCTCCCTTAGGAAAACAGAAAGTGAGGTGATAAGTTAGAGCGGAATCTGCAGGCATTTTGCACTGGCGTCAGATAAGAGTTTCACCAATCGATTTTGAACCACTTCGCACTATCAGCTAATTAGAGGGAACATGCAAGAGAAGCACTAGACGCCAAAAGGGGTCCTTATTCTGAGACGCTTGTGTTTTTCATGTCGGAGGAATAATGCAGAATCTTCCATGGTCCTGCCGTATTTGACTGTTAAGGGGGGTAAACATCCTCTGCAAATGCTGACGAATGCTACGGTCCATTTCACGCAGGGCGGCGGGAATCGGTGAAGGGAGTGCACAGAAACCAACATAAATTCATTAGGAGTCCGAAGGTTCCTGTGCGCGTTGGGCTCTGCTGAGCCTAGCATAATCCGCGGAGGCCACTCATCCTATCAGATGGCGTGCAGATCAGGGTACCTGATTGGCAGCGAGGGTCTCTCATGGCCTGGGGGGCACAGCAGCCACGCTCAAGAAATCAGAACATGGCGGGTGAAAGTCCTGGGTCCCCAGCTACCATCGGGGGCTTAGGGTTTCTGAAACCACCGAGGTCTCCGAGAGCTGAAAAAGCCAACGGCGGCCTAGAAAAATGGCGACACAAGGTGAACATCCTGAGTGTTTGTAAACAGCATGACATGTGACTGTGGGTGGACATACATAGGGCAGTGTACATTTTACTTAGAAAATGTTTTTATCCAAAGCAATGTACATTTGTGAGAAAGCAGCGTCAGACAGTCCCTGAAGCAATTGGGAGTTGATCAAGAGCCCAACAGTCCTAACACTCTGCTGACCTGGGGATTTGAACCAATAACCTTCAAATCTGACACAGCATCCTAAGCCACTGAGACAGACGCCACCACCATCCCGGTGGAGAAAGATGCAGGGGCCCAAGCCCCCAGACCTGCATAAACCCACCACTGGGGAGTTGATCCCTTCCAGAACCTTCCAGGGTTGACCCATTTATGACTGTTTGTGACATGTGAACTGTTAGTTAGATCTGACTGTGCCATTAGCCGAACCCCACCCCCCCCTCCCGACGCATCCTGACATTTGCACACTGTCTCAGGAATTCTCACAGGCTTGTTTGCACTATTTCACCTTTGTTCTGACTGTACAGAGTAACACAACCGACTGCATAGTATAATTACAATTCCTTCATTTAATTATCTTAACAGCTTACAGCACAGGAACAATTAATATTAATCATTCAGCTTGTGTTGATCTTTAGACAGCAGGAGAAGGTTCACAAAGTACATCTTACTGGGTATTACATATAATGTGTGCATTGGGCATTTACTGAGGGATCAGAAACAGTGTTTCTCAATCCAATCCGTCGGGACCCCAAGACAATCCAAAGTTTTGCTCTCTCCCAGCTCCCAGCCAATCAAGAACACCGAATACTTGGTTCAGGTGTGGTGAGAGCAAAAATGTGTACTGTCTGGGAATGCTGGAGGACTGAAAACAGCTGCCACTTTAAAAAACAGACCTCACAGAAGAATGCTTGTTTAATCTTTTACTGTTACGTTCATGTTACATCTGCCTTTGCAGTAAAAACACAGCAATGTGTTAATTGCTCCCTCTGGATGCATTTTCAGTTCCACCGAAGACCTAATGAACTATTAACTTTAAACAAAAGGCATTAAATAGAGAAACAGATGTGTCACTTGTGACTGCGCTATGCCACTGGTTACACGTCTTAAATTCACTGCAATTATGCAAAGTGCCCCATGTGCGATAATGAGCAGCCATGCGACTCGGGGCACGCAGGCAAATAAAAAAGATACTTTAAGACTCCCCAGGGCAGCTTCTGCTTCGAGTTCTGGGGGGGGGGGGGCACTGGTTTAATTCTTGCAAATATTTGCATCAACCTGCACATTTAGCAGCAAGCAGCAGGTGTGCCTTTAAGGCTGCCACAATGCTGGTTAGGGCTGCTTTTAAACATTCAAACGTGCTTTGATCTACAACCCCATGAGAGGTGGGGGGGTGTTTACTGCGGTGGTTTCTGTGGCTTCTGCCCCAGTTTGCTCCAAACTCGGCGCTTCTTCGCCTTCCTGCCTGCTTGCCCCTCCTCCTCCCGGAACTGGTTCCTGGAGTGGGCAAAAGACGAAGTGGTTAGCGGTGGGTAAAAATGAGGTCGAAAGAAGAAAAAAAAAAAAGTGCCTTACAAATATAGAGTACCTTGTGAGTACAATACACACAGTCCAACGCAAAATTAGTTTCAGTCAAAGCCTCATAAGACCGTGAGTCAATCTATGGGGGAGGGGGGGGGGGGCACCTGGACTGCCAGCGTCTGCCGCTGTTCCACACCCGGCCAAAGGACGGAAGCCAGTTTGCATCAGTCTGGGAGGTGTGGTCGAAGTTGGCCCCTACGCGGTTTGCTGGAAGCTTCTTCAGCTTCTCCTTCTCCTCTGTGGGGAGGGGGAGGGAGGTGACAGTGAGACTCGTGCAGCGATGATCGCCCCTGCAACAAGCTACTGCTTCTCACATCATCAGAAAGGGCCACAAGCAGCCAATGGGGAGCCAAGCATGCAGCAGTTGCCGCGGCGATTCTTAGCGGTACCCTCATAAATCAGGCTTCTGATTCAAGACCGGAAACCCAAGCAGCCCCACGACCTCAGACTGTGTGTGAGGATGAGCAGGAGGAAGGAACAGTTTTTACTGTGTTTCAGGAACTCCTGGTGGGAGGGGCCGATTTCCTGCACTGTGCCACTGGAGCTCCCCTCCTGGGGGTCGTCCAGCAGCCAGGGGGGGATAGCACCTGGGGGACACCAACAATGACACGTTATCAGCCATGGAGACGGCAAGCAGTAGCCAGACAGCCTTCTTCAAAGACACTAAAGTCACCAGCCTACCTGTGTGGATATTGCCATAAATGGAAGAATCCTGTATAAACAAAAAACAATTAACGCCGATTAAATTACTGCTTATAAATATAAGTAATCTATCACAAAAGCAAACCAATCAGATTTATTTAAAATAATTAAGAAAACAGCTTTTTCACCTGGTAGCCAATGAAAGTCAGGCTAGTCTCCGGCTCTGGCCAATGGCTTTGCTCCAGAGGGTCCATCCAGCAGGGCTCCGCCTCCTCCATTGATCCCAGGGCCCTGAGGCAAGAGCTGCTCCCAGAGGCGGGACCCAGCGTGACACTGTTAACGGCAGCAGGAGACGCAAAGAGCATTCGGCCGGGCGTCACCGTGGGCGATGTCACCAGTGCACAAACAGCTTGTTCATGGTACGTGTGCATGTCACGTTTCAATCCGTACGCGATTGTTCCACCGGCTCATTGTAACAGAAGTAATAATTCTGTGTAACGCCATTCCACGAAAACTAAAACGGCTTCAGTAAAGCAGTTCTGCTACCTTTTGTAGTAAGCAGATGGAGTGTGTTTTATAGCAACGTGTCAGTTTTTCGAGTTTCTCACACACATGTGGAATGAAGCTCCCAGACAAAGACGGTGACTCATACCTGGGTCCCGCCTCCGGCGCCTCCTGCTGGCCCGATCCCGACGACGCCGTCTCTGGCTCAGGCTGATTTTGATTCAGGAAAGATCAACAGAGGCCACGAGGTCCCCCCCCCCCACCCCAAATACACTGAGCCCCCCCGGGGCGCCGCGAGGCGTGTTCAGGCGGGAGTCGAGCGAGAATGAACACTCAAACCCAAAACAAGAAGATGGAAAAAGGAGGGCGGAAAAGCAAACACTTTGTTCACTTAGGTGTGGATACTGTTCAGGTGCATCCTGGGAAAACCAACCTCTAATAGGGACTGCAGGACTTCCTGTCGGTGCTGCTCCTGGGCTCTGATTATGTCCGCTTGCTATAACGAGAAGCCCCTTGGTTAAAAGCAGTTCAACATCACCCTGATAACCCAAAATATTTTAGATCTGCTTCTGGCAAAACCAGCACCTCCTTCAACAGTGTGTCCTCCTCTTCTTCAAAGGCATCTAGCGCTTTGGAAACTGCACTTTTAAACCTGGAGAAAAAAACATATAAGCATGTCTAGGATTTATGTACTTTTTATGCATGAACTATTAAATGACGGATGGATTTAACAAGCACCTCTCAATCTCCTCTGCCGTCACTAAAAATTTGCCTTTCAGCTTGGGGTCCGCTTTGTTGTCCCACCAGAACTTGTTCGTGTTCTTCTTGTGATCCAGGCTGGAACAGGCAGATCATGAAATCGGGTTTTGATTCATAAGAAAACATGAAAATATATAAATAAACAGAAACGAACGAGAGCAGATTGGGGATTTAAGTGAAGAATCAGAAGTTACTAGCCTGGGGGAAGTAGCGGGAGAGTAATGTAATTCATTCACAAGACTGGCACGGTGCATTCACTACGCTAGCACTTTGCACCTTTGCATAAGCGGTTTCATGTTAATACATAAGGTAAGCAAGATGTGCTTTTCTGCATCCAACCCATGCGAACATCAGTAAAATGGCTTTTACTACAGAACCGTACGCGAACTGAACACTGTCAAACACTGACCTGTGGGTCTGTCTGCTCCTATCACTGTCATTACAGTCACTTTAATACCACACTGCAAATATTTACATTTAACTGCACCTTGTAGGAGATACAACGCCACAATGTTTACATACATCACCAATGACATTTTTCTGGGTTAATACCAATATTATGCAGCATCTTCAGTGCAATCGTTCCTTTATTTGTTGTCTTTCATGCCCCACACATGATGTATTTGGTTTATGTCTTGTGTGATGTTATGTCTAATAGTATTCATACGCCAATTTTCTGTATTGCACTCTAGTAATACTTAAGATCTTACGTGTGAATGCACCGTTTGGACCGCTGCAAAATTTCGTTGTACTGTGTACAATAAGGGGATCTAAAATTAGAGCAACATCCGTGTTTATAAGGTTTAAGCGGGCTGCCTTGCTTACGTCGCCATGTGCTCCAGCAGTCCCGCGCACAGCACGGCGAGCTTGCCGTCGGTCACGTGCCTCTGCACCTCCAACCCACAGCAGTAGCACCAAAAGGTCCGCCGGTGCTCGGTGGCGTCCAGCTTCTCCACCCGCGGCGCCCTGAGCGCCCGGCGCGCCTCCTTCACCTGCGAGCCGACACGGACACGCACCAGCCACCGTTACATCCCTCCCAGAATCGCGGATCCCCTTTCCCCCATCGCCTCCACCCTACCTTCTCCAGAAACTTGACCAGGACAACCTTCAGTTTGGCCTGATGGCTTTTGCTGTAGATATGCTTCTTCCCCGCAAAGGTGGTCTGCCTGCACACCGCGCAGTGAAACACCGCCATACGTTCCGCCGGCTCGTAAACTACAGCCCCCGCATGATGCAGTTATATCAATTAGCTGTAGATCCTGGAAAATGTTAGAAGACAGTAACTGAAGAAACCGATTTCTTTACAGGATGTTTGCCATCTCTTCGTTGGTCATAAGCGCCAGGCTCAACTTCCGTTAGCATGGAATTGACTTGTCTGTTCGCACTCTGGCGGTTTGGAGGAATTACTGCAATGTCAGCCTCCAGAACTTGCTCCTGGAATTAAGCATCACAAATCATGCCCAAGTCCGGTTTCCGAAAATGTGCGTTTATTTACAGTGAAAGCCAACAATAGTGGCCACAATGAGTCTGTCCATCCATATGATCTCCACAAAAAAAAAAAAAATCACATCGTCCTTCCATAATTTAAAGAAAATGTTCTGCTGAGAGGTGTAATTAACACTCGTTAACTGTGTGCCTTCCTCGGCTTCGGTCTAGCGACTGGTCTCGCTTTTCCAGCTAGTTTCCGTCTTCCGCCATCCAGCTGCTTACGGGACGTAATCAGTCACAGATTAAACAGAGCCTGGATCATATCTGGAGAGGAGAAAAGCACAGCTGTGTAAAAATCCAAGAGCCACGGAACAGTGGTGGATACATTTAATGTTCCTGAGAACTGCAGCTCACCAGGGTTGTTCATGCTGCGTTTCAGAACTCTAAATGACTCCCCCGTGAGGGTCTGTATCTCGTCCCGCAGTCGGCGCCTCCCATCCAGGGTCAGGTGCCACAGGCAGGACTTTCTTTTACCTTCGCTCGACACCTGCTGCGGAGTCTTTTTGAAGCTGTTGCTGAAGCAGAGGTTGTGTCGTATGGTGTTTTTCCAGCCATCGGGAGCTGTCTGGAAGAAGGGGAAGTGCTCTCTGGCAAGGGGGGGGAATTAAGGCTGAAAAACAGAACCTCAAACTCTGAGCATGTGTTCCAAAGTGAGATACGACCGATACCGGGTGAAGTTGTAGATCTGTTGAACGTTGAGGCTGCCAGCACGGCTGCTGTTGAGCGCCATGGCGATGAGGATGCAGTAGTTGACGGGCGGCCGAGGCCACGCCCCGCTCTTCAGGTTGTTGCTCTCCTGCAGCACCCGCTGCAGGCGTTTGCTTTGGGCCAAGCCCAGCTTCCGGACCCTGTCCTTGGGCAGCCGCGACTTCCGGCTGCTCCTGATCTTCTGGCAAACTGGGACATCCACAGAGGACGCGTCATCGTCATCTGTGAGCTAATGGAGAGTGAAAACTAACCAACGAGTTGAACTGACCAAAATTAAAGACTCCATGACATGAATTCGCTTCAAGGCCATATGTTTGGGTTTCTAACACTAGCAGGGACCAAGTGACTCCCCCGAACCTACCGCTCCCCTAAACACAAATTGTACTTCCACAACATTGGTAGGGACATGTCCCTACTGTCCATACCCAAATCTACACCCAGGATTCACATGATTGGAGATGTTCTGTGACTTGGTTGGTGGAGTGGCAGGACCTCCAAGCTCACAGGCTCAAATGCAGAACGTCCACATCAGCAAGTCAGGTTTCTACTCACGATCCAGACACGTCATTCCATTAAGTTGTCACTTTCCAAATTGCTGTACCTGTTCATACGCCCTATAACCCAGGGCTGCCCAACCCTGCAGGAGCAGATCTTCGGTGTAGCCCTAATTTAACACACCTGATACAGAAAATCAGGTCCTTTGGTAGCGTCTCAGTATGAGCCAACTTAGCTTCAACATAGCTGCCTCCAGTACTTATCACATTAAAGATGTACCTTGTGCTTTTAAGGTTCACCACAAAACAATTTGATAGCAACAAATGCAAATTTAGAGACTCAGCACAGTTACGCACCAGGTACTCGCTGGATGAAGAAGCAAGAAAGGATTCCTCTGTTGGGGACGGTGGTTGGCTATATGGGACAGGGCTGTGGGAGAGGACAGCTGGAAGACCTGGAGGACACTCCAGTGTTGGTGACATGGATACCGGAGTACTGGATACATGTTTGGGGTATTTGATTGGACACGCTAGGGTAGGGTTTACCATCAGCCATAAGCTTGGCTGGACCTGAGATTCTGAAAAATAAAAATCTCCACTTCAGCAAATTTTTTTTTTTTAACAAAGCATATTTCAAATTTACCAACTTCTGAACAAATACCAGGATTTCCCTGGTAAGGCGGCCATAATGTGCACAGTTCATCTGAGGTTACTTCGGTTTTGACAAACAACCCTGTAGACATAACACGCCAGACCGGGGAGCTGACATACACAGGGCTGCCAACGATCACGCATTTGGCGTGACACTCACGCTTTGTAACTATCACATAAGAAATCTTACAGTTAAATCTATATCATTCCATTGTAAACCTGAAATTAGCTACATCAAACGCGTTGGGGTAGTTTGCAAACCCTACAGACTAGTTACAAGGTAATAACTGTAACATACATGTAAATAGTGTGTGCAGACTAGCCTCGAATTGAAAATTTTTACTCCAGCCAGCTGAGCAAAGGGAGCAACCCCGCGTACTGGAATAATCATCTACAAGTGGCTTTATATGGAAGCGGTCTACGCCCAGCGCACCTTCTGGCTCGCAGCGGGACTGAGACGCGGCGTCATTCTCCGGGGAGACGCGACCGCAGCTTCGGGCGTAGTGCCAGTGCACTAGGTAATGGCCATTGCGTTTTTCGTCTGAGTTTGAGGGAAAGTTGGGGAAAGGGTGTTTAAACAAACATAAATACATAAATACGCGTGAATCATTCACAATTATTCCCTTCTTACCCTGGTAAAATTGGTCTGTAGTCGTGGTTAGTTTGATTTCCTCGTTCATATCCCAGTCACTCAGACAGGTTGTTAAATGGAGATTAAGAAAATTGTTTTGGTTTTGAATCTGCAGAAACATTTCGGCACCGTTTCCCTTAACGCTTCTTCTAAACCCAAAGAAAAAGCCATACAGCGTTTTGTTTCAGTCAGGCCCAAGTAATTTTGTTATAAGCAGGACGTTAAGACGCACGGACCATTTTCACGTTGGAATGACTTTACCAGCTGAACATAGTTTTCATTTTCAGACTCGTAATTGTGACTAATTGCTGTTCAGTCAGCTGCGTTACGCAAAACGATTTTATTTTTACAATTCACTAAAGATAAATGCCTCATTACAGAGACATGTTTGTGGATATTTGGCAGATAATTAAATTCTAAATTAAGTACCGGTTAAATCACAACCATACGCAGTTACCACTGTTAATCGCTGTCATACTATCGACGAGTATCGGGATTTCACCTCCTAAATGCAGTAATATTTATGGTGTAAATACATGGCTTCACAAGACAAGAACCCGTTACAGGTTTATTGGTGATTTAAAACCCGACATATTTGCAAAATTAAAGCGAAGGAGAATAAACATATATAATTAATACATTACACAAAGATTGTAAAATATCTATTCTATGCACATTGCATAACAATTCAAATGCAAATTCACAAAAGTTAAAGTACTGCATGTTTTCCCATCTGCTTAAAAATGCATGTAGCCAATACAAATAGGTCTAATATAAATCTAACATATAATGAAATATTCGGCTATTGTAGAAATGTGTTCATTGTAAGGTTTATGACATTTTTTAAACTTATTAAAGCAAGTATTAAATGTGTTTAAATTTTTGTAACGACTCATTTCATGCAGTGACCATATATGACAGTGAGCACAAGGCCCACGATGAGCAGGAACACGAGGATCACCAGGATCACGGTCACCACCACCATGGCGCCGGAGCGCGCCGGCAAGCCGTCATAGATGGTACTGTATGGGACTGCTGCGAGACAAACGAAACGTGTCCAATGTTAAATCATCAGGGGAAAACACAAGCTATGAAAGCACAGCATTCACACATACATACATATATAAAGCCATGCTAAGTGTATATTGTCTTTGGGGAAAAAAATAAATTACATTAGAATATATGCTAATGAAAAACAATAAAAATTTCTTCTTTTCTCCAAAAAGCTACTCATCTTCTTATCGACTTGCCCAGGATAAATTTTGCTGGCCCATATCCCATCAGACCACCCGGGAAGAAGCCCGTATGCCAGCCGGCCAGGCCAGGCCTGCTTCAGGTCCCAAACCTCTACTCAGGGGCACCCCAACCATTCACTGTATTCATTAAATTTCACCACCAGCTCATTTCATTAATTAACTTAATTATTTAAATAATTTGATGAGGTATTGATTAGCCAAACATGGTGTGCTGGTGGCTGACTGTATTGGATGGTCACTGCAACCACTGGGGTGGCTATAACATAGGCATTGAAACTGCTTCAGTGACACATTGACAGGCATAATATCACAGTTTTACACCAACATGAAGATCATTTTTAAATATCTTTGCCTGCCTAAGATGGGCATTTCAGGTCCAGAAGCTATGAATCCAGACCATGATTTGGTTTCTACTCCCTGGTGAGTACTCTGTGATTCTTCATGCTCAGCTGGTTGGTAGAAACAAAATCCTGGTTTGGATTTGTAGCTACCGGACCTGAAAAGCCCAACACTGGTATTATATATAGTATTACATGAACAGCTGTTGAGTGAATAAGTGTATGTGTCCCCAAAGCACTGGCATTCAGTGCAGTGTGTACTCCAGCTTTATTCT